CGTCGTTGTTCGTACACGTAGCGGTCATTATGCGTGAGATTATCCACTCCGGCGAGTTTCGCAACCTTCATTATAGGCTGCGCAACCATCAAGCCGTGAATTACTGATTGCGATCAATGCAATCGAGCTGAGATTCAAGTATTCTGGCGTAACTTTCTCAGGCTTCAATGAACCAGGCTTCAAGCATCCAGTAAATTAATCTCGTTCTGTTGGTGTCTCCTCGCATCGATGAGTAAACACATCATAGTACGGAGCTTCGAAGACTGGGGAGAAAATAAGTCTCGAGTCTCGAAGCACATTATATTCGAGCAACGGGATCTCAGAAAAGGCAGCGAGCTTGTCTACCATCTCTACGACTACGTCCTCACCATCTAGAGTGGCTCTAATGGCACTGGCAGCAGTGGCCACGAGTGACCAAGGTGAATCTCCATGGGAAGCCGAGTCGTTCGACCATCCTAATTATCGTACCGTCGATCGTCTAAGCCACCGGCTTGAGTGCGACTTGCCGGCCATTGAATACAGCTCCTTCCGTTACCTGCAGAAGAGACCTGCTCCGAACCATTACGACGGACGCAAGGAACGTCCAGTCTAGCGCATACTCTGTAGCAGTATCGAACCGATTCCTTCATCGTTCCGTGAGGCGAGAAGCCACGTTTGATCCTCAGGGGGAGCTCACCGGACTTCTTCCTGAAATCCGCGAGCTATTCGGAAGCAGAAGTCGCTCCTCACGCGTGTTCTCCGCAGGACGGATATTTTCCCGACTGACCCACATGCCTGCGATCGTTCAATGGGAGGACGGTGTCATCACAGGGCTTCTGGCGGAATCGAGGGGAATAGCATCTCGAAACTTGAGAGCGTGTCTCATTCCGATATATGTACATACAATGATGTTCGCGGCATATGGTCATAATGATTACGCAAGTACTCGGTTCCATGAGAGTCGAGTAGGGGACTCGTCTCAGCTCAGTGTTGAAGCTTCGTCAAGCTGCTTCGAGGAGTGCTCGGGGCTTGCGAGGCCTTCGCTGCTCAGACCGAGAATCGGGGAGTCGGCCGGGATCGGACTGATGTCAACCGGTTAGTGCGTACCATCTCTCCATGACTCCGTAGGCGAGAGAAAAGCACCCCAAGCCACGTGCTAAGTGGTCCCCGAAGCCGCAACAAGCTGGCTGACATGGAAAACGACTTATTCGAGGTAAACTACTGGAGAAACGTAGGCGGCCTCGGACAAGAACACGGACACTCTTTCATAGACACACACAAGCACCACCATCTCGAACACAGCCTAACAAGGAATGTGTTCCACGTTCAAACGGAACGCGTGTTCCCGACAAGGACATTTCGAGCAACACTTAAACATACACAACAATCATGAGGACATTCACAGTGTTTATGTGCTCCGGAGATGCAACTTTCAGAGGGACAGACGAATACAAAGCGCAAAAAACGTGTGGCGTCTGACGGAAAAACGTCACCGTCGAATTGCCGCTGCTGCTGCAGCTTTCTAATGGAATAATTAAATCACTCTTTCCCCGATTTTTTCTCGACGAAGCTTGCTGTGAATCCAGATTCCTTGCTCCCTCCGGTGTTTATCATCAAAGACGTTTTTGTTGCCATGCGATGTTTTTACCAGATAGCGGCGACCAGCGGAGAGTCGTCTGCCCCTGCGTTCGTCTCATAGGGCAGACTCCCGCGCACGGCTTGCTGTTCGCGGTCTTCCGTAGCTTAAATATGCCGATGGGAGAAGACTGAGGATTTCTTTTGTGGATCTTCCCGCACTCACGGCACCCGTAGACCTCCAACGCTCCTACGAGAGCGTATCACCTACAGGTATTAGGGAGATATGAATGATTCGGATGTATGGAAAAATTCGCTTCTGATTTTTGCTGCATATGCTACGGGGGATGGAGGGGAACGCTCATTCCGAAAGATGAAATATTCGTGGCATTCGAAGACATGGCTCAAAGCTTATGACTCAGAAGACTCTTACCGAGGAACGCCGGTCAAGATGAATCAAATTTTTCAGCTTGCATATCTGTTCCCGATGCATCGGCGCCGCTTTTGACGAACTTCCGAAAACCGCTGGCGGAGCTGCGATCCGAATCTCCATCCTTGACAGCGGCAGCCTATCGGCCAGACCGCTCTTCCCTGCTCCATAGCTACGAATGAGCGACCGGAAGATGCCCAAGTGCGGGATCGAGGGTTCAAAAATGTCTGCGACCATCGAACCCAGGTTCGATAAGCTGCCTGAAAGTTTTTTGCAAAGTCACTGCACTTCCTGGACTGCCTCAGGCTCCTCGCAAACAGAAACTTGCATCGAGAGGGAGTTGTCCATGAGGCGAGCAATACATTATTATTAGTGAGGTGGAGGCTGTCGACTTCGGCTCCGCATTCGTGCCGGGATATAACTCTCTCAATATGCATCATAGCATCGGACTCCCCATCGGGAGTGACAATCGATTCCTTCAACGTTCAGTGCACGGCATGACATCGGAAGTGAGAGAGAGAACACGCTTGCCAGTTTTTATCCTCGCTGAGAGTGTTCCGTCGAGTCCAGCGCGTCAGTGGCCCGTGGGAAGTTGGAGGTGATCCAGACCTCATTTTCTGAATTCTTCTCGATCCTCGACTCCGAGTTCCCAGTGCCCTCCCGTTTCTTCGGTCCGCTCACTAGATCAACAACCAGGAGAAGAATCGCTTCGCTTAACAGCGATTGCAGGTTGTTCATGAGATGCATGATGATGATAGCGACGATGATGGCATCCCGACCTACACCATGGAATCTGCTCGGCAAGTAACGATAGCAACCGTGAGGGGAGCAAATCGTAACCTGCAATTTGCTCGGATGGCGGGCATCGAGAGCACATCCAGAGCAATCGCAGGCCGACGGACCAAATGCGTGAATGCAGAGCAAGCCGTGCTTGAGTTGCTCGCTGATCGTTAACCAATATGATGGAGGACAGCACCACAATCGTAGGGGGTGGACTGTGGACTACTCTCACGGTGACGGATTCTACGCAATCTAATGCAGTCCGGGTTCTTAGCGCACCATATTCCTGCTCATGAGGTCTACGTTATCGTTATTTCGAGATAAGCGTACATACATACATATATCAAGTATGTGATCACCAGGTATACATACAGGAATGATAACTCAATTTATTCATGCTTCCTCACGACTCTCTCGACCCTGTCTTCGTTCAAGAAATGCTCGGTGTTCACCCCGCAGAGTTTGCAGCGTTTGTGCTCTGAAAGGCCTGACGAAAAAATAACCAGGCAGGGAAGGAGCGGATGTAGCGAGAGGGCAAGGGGGCATACCCGTTCGGAGCCATGGGACCCCCAAGATCTTACTCGACGTGTTAACCTCGGCATCCTTCGCCGGTAACAAGAATCCATCGCTCACGCTCCCATCACTTACCACTACTTATCATCTTCCAGGGCATGCTCAGGTCCAGCATGCGAGTCATCTGGAATTCGGAGTTTCGAGATTAATACGAGAGGAACTCATCAATGGATCGTAAGGGGGTGATCTCGAAAACATGCGGTGCGTTCCGAGAAGTACCGAACTAGACCGCTTAAGGATTGATGGAGCTCAGGAGACGATAGATCCACCTGATTTTCAGAGGTCATGCTTCTTCCTTGCTGTGGAGAAATTTTCCCCGGATCTTGAGCGAGATAATTTTACGACGAAGACTTGCTTCACCACGCTCCACCGAAATATCGGTCCTCTCAACGCGTCGAACGTCCGTCAATAAGGTCCTGAGACCTCAAACGATGTCGAACTTCGAGACATTTGATCTCCGGGAAATGATTCCGTCCTGGCCATTCGTGGTGCTGATTCACTGCCGAATCGCTTTGAGAAGGCGCAAGCGGCCTTCCTATATCAATCTCAAACTGCCCTCTTCGCATTTATTCCCAGTGAGATCGAAGTCGCACAACAGGCCTCTTGCCGCTCGCGATCCGTATGTCTTGATGCTATCCCATAGGCTCAGTCAATGGCGCCAGTTTATCGGTTAAGGGTAGTCGTGCGGCGTTTCACGTCATCTCCTCGCAAGACTCCTCGCCAAAAAGCTGGTGGCACTTTCCTTCCGAATTCGAGCGCAACTACTCCTGGATCACCTAAGAACAGCTTCCCAAGATAGAAGCCTCGCAATGAGCCTTTTTTTTTCTCACCATCTGGAAATGTCCCGAAGGGTTCACAGCCTTCGATTGGCATCGGTGGTACCGCTTCATCATACTTGCACTGGACTAGGTATACAGCGCATATTTCTGGGAGTCACTAAACACTCGAAGAAGCATGGGCGCTACGGCCTCGTACTCTTGGCCGATTTCGTGATCTCCGTACCCACGTGCTGTTGTTCGTATCAAGTACGTATCAAGTACGCACGTGACGTAGAGGTTCGCTAGGCTCTCCGCACATTTTTCCGCCACTCACAATCAGTTCGCGCTCAGATTCCTCCGAGTTCCCCCTCCAGACAGAGAGTTCCAGGGGACCTTCGTGCGGATAGCAGATCGGGAAACAAACCCTCGAGCGGATTCCGCTATATCCGATTCAAATCTGCTGAGTTCACTTTCATTTCAATATTTAATCCGGAGTCCAGTGGCTGTTTGGGTCGATGGTGTCGAGAGGTCGAGGATAAAATTCATTCGCTCACCTGTATTGTCCGACGTGGACCCTATCTTCTTGAAGATGAGGTCGCACTCTAAGACCGGTGTTCTCTCATTATGGTCGTCTCTTCTGGATAATCAAGGTCTCATCAGCATATCGAACGGGTCGACTTGGAACAGGCTGTTTACTTCGCATTCTTAAGGATAATCAGCGACCCGCGCGGATCCAATCGAACTGTCCACGCCATTCGTCTTGAAAGTCGCCCATCGAGCGACCTCGAGCTGAATTCCCTCGAGTTTCTAATATACTCCCCTGGCGCGAAAAATCCCCCGGAAGTTGGGAGCACCCTGTCTATGAGTGCCCTCTTCCTCCACCTACTCAAGGACTGAGGCTCACGATGGTGTATCCCTGGAGTGGACGGAACATGCGCTATACCTACATGGATGTGAGTGCTTTCAACGCCATTCGGATTCCACGACCAGTGACGAATCAGTCAATCTCGGGAGTTCCCGCACCGTCTCGATGATAATGACGCCATATTTTCTCTCCCGTTCCCAGCATCCCCCCTGGACTTGGGCGGAACTACATCCGGACGGCACCGTAGAACTCAAGGGAATACTGGGCGGTTTGCATCATCATCTCATGCAGGCCCTCAATATGACGTAAGAACCTCGTACCCGCGCTCAGCACAGCGCTTCGGGTGCCTTCAGGTGTCGCGATCCCCTGAAGTCTCACAGGAATCGCTCAGAGAATAATTTCTGTCTCTTAGTTACACCGTCCAGAAGCCCATCGACGGCTGGTATGCGATGGGTTTCCCGAACGGAACCCTGATGGGAATGCCGCGCATGATCGAAGACGATTTCGCCGACATCTCAACGGGTCCACAGCCCAGGAATGCAGTATATTTTGCGAAGCTTCATTTCAGCCCGATAGTCGTCGAGTCCATGTTGACCATGTTGTCAGGCATGAAGACTGCGTTCGTTACTCGAGCTCAAAGTTTCAGTGGCTCGTTCGACGGATATGTAGGTTCAACGACGACAAAAACCCGAGTCCGGGGGACATCTCGAATTTTATTGCTGTGCGTGATGTATAATACGTGCTTCAACTTCAGACTTGGCTGTTCCTATTCACGTCGTTCATTCTCGCCACATTCATCGTGGCTATTCATATCGCTCTCGTTCTGAAGAAACCTTGGCCGGTCTCTGCTTCTTCCGATTACGCCGTCGAGCTCTTCGCGATGCTCGTCCAAGAAGGCAAGTCTCACTCCGGATATGGTTCGGCGCACAAGCGAGAGAATTTTCGTAGATGTCGGTGTTTGTCTGCTCTGTGGAACCGTCGCCGAAATTTCAATGGGCCGCAGGGGTTCACTCCAAGTTCACGGCACCATCGGCACGGATAATGAGCGGTTTCTGGTTGATGACATCCTTCATTCTGGCTCTATCCTTTACTGGACAGAGCAGAGCCAATCTTGTTGTCAGGGCGCCAACGGAGCGATTGAACACCCTCGAAGAATTCTTGAAGAACCCCCGCCTGATCTCCATACACCTGGCGAACACGAGACTAATGGATATGATAACCGTGAGAGAATATCCCCAATGGGGAGCCGAATGTCTATGAGCCGAAAGAATACAATCCCCTGGCAGACTGACTCGGACGAGAAGAGATCTTGCTCCATAGGAGATACCGGAAATCGGACCTCGTATTAAGGAACATTTCGAGAGGACCGCCGTCGCTTACGGAGTCGATCGAATCTTCTCTGATGAGTCACAGGAATTGCTTGCTTCCAAAAAAGCAGTCATCTTTCTCGACCGCTTACTACTCAAGACAAGGGTCAACGCCTGGTGTCCGAAAACCAAGTACTTCTACTACATATCACCTGAGGATTTCGGGGATCTACGGAGTACATTCCTCGCGAGCCGCAGGCTAGGTCGACGAATGCTGCACACTATGGATCTACAGTGAAGTTTCATATCTTATCGCCATTGAACTGTAGACGACTGAGCTCGCTAGGCAGGAGTGACGCAGTTAGATCAGACTCCAGGCAACAATCTGTTTCCCTGTTTTTCAGCATATATTGGTTCCAGGCGATGGGTCTCAGATTCATGAAGGATCGTGATCTCTTCAAAGGTCACGATGACTGCATCCCATCGAGTCGCATGGAATTCCCTACTGAAATCAAGGCAACAACGATGATGGACCTCCAGTCTGTGTTTCGTACCTACGTCTTCAGTATCGGGGTGTCTGTCGCGGGTTTCTGGCTCGAGATTCTTTGGCATCTCGTGCTCTATAACTTTTGTTCCCAAACTAGTCGAAAATAAAATATCTGAAACGAATCGTATGACCTTTATTCTTCTTCTCTGATGAATCGGGTCTCCTCGCTCAAATAGGGGAGGCGGGTCCCCGATGGAGGTGTAGGAAGGAACCTTCTGCGGAGTTGCGACACAAAAACCTACGAGGAGGCAAGAATGCGACTCAGGTTGGAGGGAGCTCTGTTCCGATAAAATGAGGCCTCTTCTAACATATTCGAAGCCTACTTCCCAGTTTCGAAAAAATCCGCCACGATGTGAGTCCTTCTTCCCCGTACGTCGCTCCGCTTGACACCCACCGGAAAGGTGAGCAAAAACTGAGCCTAATCCGAACAGAGTGCACAAGAATTCATGTGAGTTGCTCATGAATCACGATTTTAGGGATAACGATGGTCCCACGAAGATCGAATGACGATAAGGGCCCAGAGCGTCCTTGAGTTCGTGATCAGTGATCGGCAGAAGTTCAAGCCAGCATCGAATGACTTCGGCTATCTATGGATGCATCAGCAATCAAGCTTGCGGTCTCTCCACCCGGAATGATCTATCGCTCCTGTCAGTGCTCTGCAAAGCCAAGTGGTCTTTAATGAGGCATCGACACGGAGCTCGCTATTTCTTCTCAAGCGTAGTGGTACTCGGTAGACAAATCAGCTGACTCCAATGAGAGAATAGCTCCGAGTTCAGACCGGGAATCCAGACGTGAGCGGTCATTGCCTCGATTCGGTTCTCGCAGACTCCGAGTGGGAATTTTCCGAAAATCTGCTCCTCCAACGGAATCTCATTGGTCGGAATGGAGAGGACGCGGACGGCTGCTTGCACGGTGAGAGGCCAATAGAGGAATGTTCCACGAGGCACATCGTCGCGGAATTCGCGTCCGGCGCGCCTTGATAAGCCATCCCGCTTGCTTCAGAAAGCCCTTGTCAGACAGAGGGGGCAGCCCGAGAAGTCGCCACAGACAAGCGAGTTAAATTCGGAATCACCGATGATTCCGACCCGATCCGATCAGAACCATCCAATCCCTCGCAGCTGCCGGGATTTGGCGGGGGCTCTCTCCGGGTATCCGAACACCATCGCTCGTGGTGTACCTTCGTACATATCTCGCGAGCTTACCTCGACGCGAGACCGCCTTATGGAGCTCGGCGAACGAATCATGAGATCTTATTCTGAAATGCAGCTCCCGCAGCCAACCATCAGACTATGGTGGGCGCTGTGTCTCCTGTACCCGCGAGCCGCGAGTCGCGCACCCGGAGGGACTCTTGTGCGCAAGCTCACCGAAACGAGAAGCGATGTGGTAAATTAGAGACGTTGTGGATCGCAACGAATGCAGTAAACCGAGCCTCCCGCCTCTCCGAACAATTGCTTCTTCCTGATCACAAGTTTGCGCTCACTTCTGCTGTCTCCCCTGTTCCCTGGGTCCCACCTTCAATTTCGCAGAAGCATATTGAAAACGGCAGGAGATGTCGGAGCTTCCTCCTCCGACGCCACAGCGACTCTGAGCTCACCACGGCTACCGTGAGAGTCTCGACCCATCAATCTGCACGAAACCGAGTCATCTAATGAGAGTAGAGACGAGACGTCCTCCGTGGCCTGTCGCTAGCCATTTCTGCTCTAGTGGAGATCTCGATGGGGGACGAGGACGCATGTGATGCCCGAAGGCATTCCCTCCAAAGCGAGTGGCAGGAAGGGCTGCGGAGCTTCTAAGTTCACAATGAGGGGAGTATGTAATGTCGAGGAAGGTAGTAAAGTCGTCTACATTTCCATATCAGAGGTGGAATTTATTCACCCATGGTACAAAGTACGCGAGGAGCTTTCAAGGAGCTTTATGATCGACCTTTGGAAGGATGGATACATCCGCCGTGCTAAATATAGGCTGATCGTCGATTTTCGAATGTGCTCCTCCATCGTGACCTCGAACGCAACCAATTCCCCAGAGAGCGAGAGGAATCCGCCGCAGAACGCAATGGTATTTAAGCAAGCGGGCTCTGCGCTCCGATTGCATCCTTGCGTCGGATCCTGGAGCTCAAGCATGAAGTACTTACCGGCACTGTTGAGTCTCTTGCTCATTGGCACTACGGATGCAGATACGGAACGGAATACCGTCAGTGAGTATCGTGAGCGTGCCTTGAGCATCTTATCTCACCAGACCCTTACTTGTGCTCGATCTACCTCGCTTCTATTTCACCTCATTCGACACTCATCTCATCGCAACGTTATTCTACGCTGCAGCTTGTGTTATGGATTTGATCAAGAGCTACTACGTCAACTTCTACATGGACTTCATCAAGACCTGCGTGGATCTCGGATCGAAAACCGCGGGGAACCTATTCTACACCGACCTGAACTCCGAGTTCTCGAGCTTCGAGGAAAATCTGCGGAACTTGTGAGTCGTCGACTTTTGCTTTCATCGAGTGATATCCTTCTGGATCCGCATGCCTTGCGGGATTTCCTGCAGAGCATGCACTGAATGCTCTTTTGTTGGACTCAATGCATTTTCCAGAACGGAGTCGACAGTACTGACGAGAGAAGAATGTTCAAAGAAAGGATGGTTGATGAGGAATATTTGCCAGCTCAACGAAAACAAGAACTTTCTCCTCCGCGTGAACCTGGCGCACGCGAGGTTCTTGAGGAGAGTGGCGACCAAGTTTTTCGAGCTCCCCGGGAGTCTCTCTGCCCTTGTGTTCAAATTCATCTCCCTTCAAATTCGCATGTTCCATGTCCACGCTAGAGAGGCCGTCGCCTGCTTGAGGAGGACATCGGTTCGCAACGTCCATTGTCGTCTTCTTGCCGAACATCAGGGTTATCAATAAAAAGCAATCTCACCTGCAACCACTAGAATTCCATCACCAAGAATAGACTGAACGTCAAATTCGATGGTTCATTCGAGCAGAAAACCATCGCACGTTTGCTGCCGCCTCGAGACCACGCTAGCATGAGCGAGCGAAGTGCTGCAGATGTCGGTTGAGTCCAACACTGAAGTACTTCAGGGAGCGGGCAGCGCAAGAATTCGACTCCTACTCGGCGGCAGTACGTAATCAAGAGGAGAACGGCCATTATCGCTTCGGTCCACAAGCAGCTCCAGTACCGCATGCCGGTCGACCAAGGAGATGGCATATGGTACTCTTTCGGACTAATCGAGATCCCTCTCCCAAGACCAATGTCGGCGGGGAATCCATTCGCTACCCTTCCGCTGCGTGACGTTGATTCTGGTTGGAGGGATTCGGAGTATCCTGACAGAGAGACAGAGCCGAGTATATCTACAATCTGCCGGGCGGAGGACAGAGAATACTCATGAGCCAAGCCCAAGATGGAGCCGTTTTTCCGATTCGACGAGCATATATTCCGAACCTAGCGGGCCACCCGAGTTCCCCCGGAGGCTGAATGACAGTCTGCACCTGCCATTTCGGCGGAGAATTCCTCCGGTCCTGAATGTCGGGGCTAGCGAGAGAGATCCCGATGCCCGATGGAACCTCTAGATCGATTTCGCCATTCTCAACAAGTTTGGATACCGTTTTCCACAGAAAAAAATTGTCCGCGTCATTATCGTCAACACTCCGCGAAACTCTTACAAGAGGTATCCGCGGAACGAGTCCGCATCCGGGAATATGCGGGCACCGAGTTCGGGAAGAAGAGTTCATCATCGAGTCTTTGGCGAAACGGACGCGTAAATCTCGTCGGAATGTCGACAAAAGCAAGGTTCCGTTTCACGGGTTTCGGACAGTACGGAGCTCATTGTTACTCGCCAGACCTGAAGAATCGATCCGGATCGCAAGAATCGCATTCGAAAATGTCAAGTCCTCGCATTCAGTTCGCCGCTGGAAGAACTCGCCAGCCGTCTTGTTCCGGATTCTATAAGCGAATCACATCAGAGAATCCACACGGCCTCCTCCTGGTATTCATGTCCTGATTACTGAATTCCCGATCTGGCCTATGCCTCGTATATGAGGACCGCCGAATTTTTGTGCGGAGGTTTGTTCGGAGCACAGCGGGGATTGCTGTCGCTGGGAGGAACGAGACGAAATTTTCGATCGAATCAAGGCAGCTTGAGTAGAGGTCAAATAGGTTCGAGAGCTGAGTCTTTACGATGCACCATTCTCCGGGGAATGCCAAGAAGCGCGACATCGTCATCTTTTTTTTCCGGTGACCCATCCCCACGCAGGCAAGCGCATGGGCCCGCACGGGCTCTTCGCCTTGAATTTGACTTGATCGGATGAGAAGTTCAGGTTCGTCGATCTAGGCAGCGAAAGGAGACAGGCAAGCCAAGAAAAAAAACGGAAGACACAGATGAGGGAACAAAGCGTTCTCGCGTATGTCCTTCCTCAGGACGATTGTTCCTGCTCTAAAACGGCGAGTTCCATAACATTCACCCCACCAGCAAACCGGAACGTGGCCTTACGCTGATTCGTATCATCGTGTTCTGCTGTAACCAGCCATTACGGCTCCCAAGCGGCCATCAGGCGCTTTTGCGGCTCTGTACGTTCCGTTTCCTGCCGATTAGTCTTTGGTTCGAGGAGAAGCAACATTCTTGAGCTCTCTGCAGAACACTGAGAATGTGATTGATTCTTCCCAATGTACCATATCGAGCTGAGTCTACGCGTCTCGATGTGTTGCACCGGGAGCCAGCAATGAATCTCCACGCCCTCCCTCGAGCGAGCTCGAATCTGCAGATATTGAAATCAGGACGAACTCCTACGTCGATACGCCCAGAGAAGGGAGCGAAAGACGACTGCCTGTGCCTCTGTTCGCTTTCATTGTGTTCACACAGAAGCTGACTGGATGTTCTATTTTTTCACCGAACGACGAACCTCCCTTCATACTGAGCGCTCTGTCGCCCCTAATACTTAGAGAATACTTAGGACTCACTGCATGCGGGCGATCGCGTTGGCGCCGTTAGGCACGGCCCGTAATTAATTCTCAAGCCTACAGTGCTTTACCATTTCATAATTATTTTCGAAAAATTCTGAGTCCTTGCCTCAGAACCGCCGATCTTCGCGCCGAATATTGCCATTCGCAGGCCCCGCGAATAGGCTCTAAACCTTCAGCCCCCCCTATGACCTGCTCCACTAAATGCATCAGCCTGACGGACTCAGGATTTTGGAACCTAATTTATTCCGATCGAGCACCTCGTTGGAATATCGACGACATACGGCCTTAAAGTCATCCATATCGAGAACCCAATGGGCTTATCTTAAGATTCTCTCCTAGGAATTTGGGGAGTTTTTTGAGTTAGCTTCCGTTTGGGTCGGTCACTGGAGGCACAGAGCGAAACTGAAGATGAGAATGATCAAATCAAAGATGAAAATAAACCATCCCATGGGTGGAAGTCGAATATCAGCTCGAATATCAATATATCCACGGTGGTCCCGATTTCGATTTCTCACTATACTCGGAAACGCTGAGTTTCGGAGGCGGAGAGGTGGAGACATCATAATCGGAGCTTTCTTCCCTAAACCAAGCCATTTTCGAGACAAAAAATCAAGGGAAAAAGGCCCGCTTTTTCTTCTTCCATAGATAAAAATCGAGTTTGATGCTTTTGCTCCAGGGCGTCGACCCCGAGACAGTGGGCAACATCTTTTTCGATGAGAATCCAAGAGCCAGGAGGGCAACCCATCGCAGTTTTTCTTCTAAACCTCACCGATTCCGAGAAAAACTCAAAAAACCGAGCGAGGGATGTGTGTAGATTATTCAGCCGTCCGAGCTCCACAGAGAGCGTTGGACACACAGAACTTTTTCATTAAGAAACAATGAGTGTCTTGAGGGGGAACCGACAGACGAACGCGCGGAAGAGCGATTAGGGAACTGTGATATGAAATCGGAGTGATTGTTATCTAATAACTTGATCGCTGAGCCCTGGTAGTCTCGAGGTGGCGGATTCCATGTATGAGACGGCCACTACGAATGGAAATGGAGTATCCGCGCGGAAGTGACGCGGATGACCCTTGGAACCTCGATCTGGATAAGTCCAAACGAGAGAATCGCCGATATTCCAAGGGGAAAATTCCAAAAAAAGCAGTAAACTCATCTGTACTTCCGCCTCGGAAATGGCACTCTATCTTTAATCCCTGGTGCGAAGTTCGAATGGACTTTTCCTGAACTTTTACGACCAGTCTTTGATACTACTTATACTCTAGATTAGACGGGCTAAGTATAGGCTGTCCGGCGGTCCCCGATTCGTGTTCGGCGATAGTCCTAAGTGCAAGCAGTCACTCAAAACCGGAGAGAGTAAAGCGTCGTTTAGCCTTGAGGTGTTTCTGCTTGCAGGTTCTTCGCGCCCATCTCACTGATGCCTAATTCTTTGCAGCAAAACAGAGCAAGTCGTCAAAGGGGAGAATGCATCGGGACGTCCGAACCAAATTCAACGGTCGAGGGCGTCTTTCTACGTCCTATGCAAACCACGTGGAAGCATTTTCCGTGCCGGAGCCAGAACCTTCAGTCGCGCGGCCGTAAAGAGAGTCGAGGACTCCGAGGCAGCATCTCGCATGGTTCTGACGGCCCCGGCGGCCTCCTCGTCGCTTTTCATCAAGTGCGAAACCTTGATATTGTTCCAGAAGACACTCTGAAGACGTACACAGTAGAACGGCTCGGGAACGATTTCGCTCGGGAATTGAGACTCCTGACTCCTGAGACTCTTCTCAGAGACGTTTCTCCCAAACCCCTGAGAAGCTGGAATAATTCATGAATGATGGTTTCAATCATTACTGGGCCAGTTCTCGGATTTGAAATTCGCTATCCGTGCTCCGAGATGACATCGTTCTCTCCAGTTGCTATTTCGTTCTTATCAAGGACGCTCCTCGGAGGGGAATTCCTAGGGAGAAACTTGATTCGGCCAAGGGCCAAACCGAAGTACGCGTAGAACTACGGGGAATGCGTTCGTTGAGAATGAGTGGAACACCCAAATGGATAATTTTGGCTCGCCTTTCGAGCGAGGCACGGTTGAGAATTTTGTCTACAGGCAAACACTGAGCAAACCACGATGTGGAGCTTCTTTGGACGGGACCGCAGAAACAGACATTGAGGTTTCGGAAAACTGCATGATTCCACAACAGCAGGGCTCGACCTTATGCCACCGTTCAAAGGCGCTACACACTCGAAGACCCGTCAATCATTGACCCAGCTTACCAGGGAGCCAATGCAGTAGACCGTGAACGCCAAGCGCCATATTATCAATTTTGAATTTCTACTCCTCTTCGCGCGCTTCCGGTGCTCTCAGTGGGGGAGCTTTTGTGTGAAACGGGGATGCGCAGAGAGTCGCGTACATAGATGCCGAGCTCAGTTCGTAGGTTCCCAACCTTGAGACAGTTTTTCCGAGTCTTTTGACGCCGATTCCTGTTTGGCAAAAAAACGGTCACTTCCGTCACGCGAGGTGTTCACCGATGGCCCCTCTAGCGAGCGCAATGACGTAGTTCTACGTCAAAAATTAAACATTTTGCCGCTCGGATATATTGTTGCCTCCTCTCTACCAATTCGCAGCAATTTTATTTCTCCACGATGCTTCCAGAAGCCTCCTGTAGAATAGGAATGCTTTACAAATTGGCGCCGGCCCTGATTCCATGATGCAGCGCGGGACCGCATGAGCAACGAATTCGAAGGGATGGTGCGCATATTGTCGGAGCGTGCATCAAGACGCGTGCTCACGATGGTTACTGGGTACGGGCTGGGGTCTTCATCATCGCCTGCTCTACACCCGGGGCACGAGCGCCCATCGACTCCAGATATGAGAACGAGGCCGACACATTCTCTCAGCGCAGTCATCCTAAACTCCATCGTTATTATACAGGCATCGTAGTTCGACCATGCTGATCACTTCTGA